AGGATCCCATGGAAGTCCATCAAAAGGCAATGGAATTATTGGACTCATTTAATGTCTTTTATCTAACAGTTGCTGATATTCTTTTGGTATAGCCTGATTTCTTTTGGCTCACTTGCATATGCCCTAAGGCTTTGAGGTTTGAAGGGGCTGAAATTAAAAGAAACAAACATAATTTTGTAAAAGCTGATATTTCAATATGGTTTTATGGTTTTCATAAAACATAAAATTTAATAAGGATAAATGCAAAACTCTATGTTAAAGTTACACCATAAGGTTCCCTTGCAAATTTGCCATTGGAAATGGGTGTTAATGTGTATTGGTGAGATACAGGCAGGGTGTACCAGAGGATTGTTGAATTTTCAGCATGAACATTTATGCCTTGGAAATCTGCAGTTACTACAAATCAGGGCTTGATTTATTGTTATGTTGATTGTCTAGATTTTAGAAAATGATGGAGAAAATATTAATAATGCTAGTTAAATTTTAAAGTGTGTTCATGGGGGAGCAGGTTGTTTAACATTTACCAGCATACCCTACATATGGGTTATAGGCCAAGCAAAATCACACTACCTGTTCCCCATGCCCAGCTTCCTCTTACACAGGTCGTGTGATTCTATGGCCAAGGTACTTTTTCACTACAGCTGGGGAAAGGGAGAAAACCTTGTTATACCCCTTGCTGTGGTGCTGAGTACGCATTTATGGGCTGATTATCATATACATGTGATTCTCAGAATATTTTTTTAATATAACCTTCTCCTCTGAATTATTGTTCAAGCTGTAAGAGTGTGGAGTGGTGTTGTGGGAAGATGTCTGGATTGGCCAGAGGGAGCTCATCTAGGTTTGAAATACCATTTTAATGGTCTTAGCTCAGGATTTCTTTAACCTGCGGCTCATGAACTTGTTTAATGTTTTGATAACTATATTTCAATATAGTTGATTCCCTACATATTTTATTTTATGTATTTAGAAACATTTTTCAGAAACAGATGTACTAGACTGCCCAGGAGGTCCATGACACCAAAAAAAGAATGTCAAATCCCTGCTTTTGGCAGAGCTGTTCCACTCTCAAGGGTCTGTGGAAGAAGGTGTCAATGAAATAGCTACCAAGCTGAGATAGTCATTGATTACCTAATTATATACCCTGCCTACCATTAAGTACTAGAAAATCACCTCAGAATCAGAAAGATGTACAAATGCTAACATGAAAAACATGAGAAAGTGGTATGATGCATTCTTTGTAGGATTTTGTTAGAATTTCACAAAAAAATAGTGTCTCCCCTCCTCTATTGCTTTTAATACAGGAAATAGGCAAAAAAAATTTATTTTAAACAGCATTAAAATTTAAACAATTAATGACAGGCTGTTCAAATTTTAGGTATAGGCCTAATCAGGATATTTGAAAAAGAAAAAAAAAACCAGATAACACTATGTGTTCTTAGAGCATTCAAATCAAAGCTTGCTTCTACAGGGTAATAGGAAGTCACTGAACCCAAGCCTGGTTTACTGTAATATTGGAATCATGGTTTGTTATGTACCTTAGAGATGATCTAATCCAGCCTCTTCACTTTGCGAGAAGCAAAAGCCCATGTCCAGAAAGGCTGTGACTTCTTCATGTCATACCACTATAAATTCCTTAAGAAGACTCATTTCTTTAAGCTGAGCATTTTATATCAGTATTTCTTATTTTCTGCCAAAACATGTGACTTAAACATTTAATGAATGTGATATAGTTGTTAGTCACTGACCATCTTTGTGGCAGCAAAAATCCTCTTAGAAATTGTGATTTCTTTCTATAATAAATTAGTTTTAATACAATGGAATTCCTGGTAGAGAAAAAAATAACAACAGGGTTAGCACTTATGGGGCAGAGGCCAGCGAAAGGGGTGGGCTGTAGGGACAAGCTTTTAATTACCTGTTCTTAGCATTTCTTCAATGTGAATCATTCATTCTTATGTGCCACCTGAGAAAAATAGTTACTTCTTTATCTCATTTGATACCAAAACACAATTTTTTTATTGATAACCTATAATAGAAATTAGTATCTAGAATGTGACTAGGGTCAGACTGTATTTATGGCTGTGCATGTTGTGGGGTGGGGTAGGGAGGAGGTGGTTGGGGGAAGTACCTAGGCAGAACCCCAGTGACAGAGATGGGGTGGAGATGTGCAGGTGGAGCTCTTATAGCCCATGACACAGGGTACCCTTCCAAGTGAGGAAGTGATGACATTGGTGGGGCTTCCCTCATATTATCCCCACCCTTACCCTTTTCCCCTTCCAAGTGCAAAAAGGGTCTAGGTCAGGGGTGGGAAACCTGCGGCCTCAAGGCCACATGTGGTCCTCTAGGTCCTCAAGTGTGGTCCTTTGATTGAATCCAAACTTCACAGAACAAATATGTGGCCTTGAGGCCGCAGGTTTCCCACCCCTGGCTAGAACTTCTCTGAACTTCAGTGTCCTTATCTGTAAAATAGAGATGATAATATCTGGGCTGCCAGCCTCACAAGGCTGTCATGAGGATCACGTGAGGTCATGTTTGGTGACAACTTGTTGAAAACTGTCAAGCCCAGTACAAGGAGAAAGAAGAGATAGTTGCCCTTTCAAATACTCAGATAACTTCACTATGAGCAATAAAAATAGCCTCCAGACCCGTCACAAACCGTCATCCTAGAGAACTGCATAAATCAAATACACATTTCTCTTAAAAACATTGTCTTTCTAAGAGTGAACTTTATTAAAGGTCTATATGACAAGGTTAGAGGGAGTCCTTGCTCCCTCTTGTGGCAAAAATGTGACTTTGCCTAATTGGAAGGCTGAAGCAACCAATTCTTTGTGGTCAATTAGCTCAGTCAGGTTAGATTCTCATCAGGATTAGGCTAATCATGGCTTTGACCGTCTCTCATCTATTGGTCCACTTAACTTGACCTTGTACTATGGTGGAAGACCAGTCCTTGCTGGCTGACCAAGTGAAGAGTGTAGTTGAGTCAGTTGAAATCATCCTCACTCCTTGAAACACAATTTGACTCCTACAGGAAATGTACAAATGGGATTTGGGGACTACAAGGTATCTTACAGATCAGTAGTGGACATGTGTTGTGGTACTGCCTCTGCCGTGTCTAACTAGGTGAATTTTGGTAAATTGCCTAATCCTGCTAGCCCTACCTAATGACAGTGGGGTGCATTATAGCCATTTTTGTGTCTGAAGAACATTTACTAACAACATAGCTCAAAACCTTCATCAAGCCTTACTGGAGGCTGTTACAATTTATACAAGTAACTTGAAACAGAAAAGATTAAAATGCTGACCCAAGGTCTTAACAGTCAGGTCAGTGCTGAAGTCAAGGATTGAATTTAGGACAGGAAACCTAGTTCCAGCTCACAAGCTTGGCAAGGGTAAGTCCACTATTTAGAATCCAAAATGGTCCATCCCCCATGATTTTCATAAGAATCTATCGCATAATGATATCTCAATGAACAATGTGTTACTTTCACCCGTCGCAAAATGTTGGGATTTCATTTAAAATCTGTTGGAAACCACTTGGTCCTACCCCTTCTTTTTTCCTTTAAATACCTAAATAAATGGATATTTAAGTGTTAATGTTGTTATTGTTCTTAGGGCTGCTGTTGATGCTAAATATTTTAAGTTGTAAGTGCTAGTATTCCAAATGAAAAGTATTTGATGCCCTGTACTATAGACAGATGCAACTTAAAAGAACTTTCATCCTTGACTCAATTCTTAGATAAATTAAGAAAAGAACTCATATTTCTATACTGTTTTAAGGTTTACAAAGTCCTTCGTCACAGCAAGGTTATAGTGTAAATAGTGCAAGTATTACTGTTCCGTGTTGTTGTTCAATCATGTCCGACTCTTTGCCATCCTGTAGAGTGTAGACCATACTGTTCATGAGGTTTTCTTAGCAAAGATACTAGAGTGATTTGCCATTTCCTTCTCCAGTGAATTAAGGCAAACCGAGGTTAAGTGACTTGCCCAGGGTCTCACAATTAGCAAGTGTCTGGGGCTAGATTGAACTCAGATTTTCCTGACTCCAGGCCCAGGCTTCTCTATCCACTGAGCTGTCTAGATGCCTCCCATTTTACAGATGAGCACATTTAGGCTCAGGGAGGTCAAATGCACATAATTTGCCCATGGTCCCCGAACTTACCTCAAAACCTAGGTCCACAAGAACTGAAAGATAGAAGCTTTTTCATCTCTTTCCAGCCCCCAATGTGTTTTCATTACAATAGCTACACAGTGTTGGATGCTTCATAAACTTTGCCACGAGTTCAGGGCAGAAAGCTGTTGTGCCAACTTTTACATGAACCAAAATGAAGTTGTTTACTATCTTTCCCAAATGAAGTTGTTTACTATCTTTCCCAAGGAAAGTTCTGACTTGTGTTACAGAAGCCACTCTTCCCATCCATGATCTCCTTGTGGTTACTCTATAGGTACCACCTTCAATGAGTTCTTTCTGAAATCTTCAGTTTCACATAGCCTTGGATGCCATTCCATTGTATCCAACTCCTTTGGGCTCAGTGGGCCCTAAATCACTTACCCAAGGGTCACTGACTGATTCAAAATAAATGGCTCTTATCTGATTGGTCCATGGAACTGGGGGCATATAGCCTCAAAAAAAGAGAAAAAAATCTAAGGGAAGGGTTTTCATATGGAAGAGGGATTCGAATTGTTCCACTTGGCACCAGAGGATAGAATTGGGAGCAATGAGTGGGTTTTGAAAAAATGCACATTATGACTTGACATACAGAAAAAAAACTCCTAACAATTAGAGCTATCCCAAAACAGCATGGACTGCCTTGGGAAGCAGTGGGTCCCCCCTCATTTTCAAGCAAAGACTGGATGACCCTTTGTTGGGGTTGTTGTAGGGGAGGACTGTTGGACAGCTGCAGATAGATGGCTACTGAGGTCCTTTCCCACTCTTTTCTGTGATTCTTTGAATTGATGTGACATAATTCCTACTGACATCCCACTTATTCTTTTTTTCTATCCAGGATGCCTTTGTGGAATTGTATGGCAACAGCATGAGGCCTTTGTTTGATTTCTCCTGGCTGTCTCTGAAGACTCTGCTCAGCCTGGCTCTGGTGGGAGCTTGCATCACTCTCGGTGCCTACCTGGGACACAAATGAATCAGCAAACATGCAGTGGATAGATATGCAAAAGGCTCACTAAACTGTAGAAATAGTATGCATTTTTTTCAGTGCTCCATAATGAAATTTGGGTGTAGTCTCTTTAAGAGAAGAAAAAAGGAAAACATTGGAGGAAAAAAAAAAACTTCTGGGCAAAATATTAAATCAGCTATTTACTGCCAAAGGGAAATATCATTTATTTTTACATTATTAAAAATTATTTATTTAAGACATTTACATTTAACCTCCTGTCTTCAGAAACTCTGCCACTCACAGCAAAGTAACATTTACTATGGCTCCACACGGAATCTCCTGTGCCTATAAACGCTGATTTGTTTTAGACGGAGTTGGCTGGATTGGCTCAATCTCCGAGGAACAAACAAACTGACAAAGGACCTTACTGTCGGGGAGCGCTTTTTTAGGCTGCTTGAGGTTAGGGAGGTGGGCTGCATTTTATGTGCATTTATTTGCCCTGAATCGAAGTAGAATTTTTTCCTGCTGGGAAAAACAGACACTTTGCGTATGATTTGCATGGTGCACACATGGTCCAAGGGGTGAAAAAGGAAACCTTGGGGCAGACTTACGATCCATTAAGATTCTCCACATTTCTTCCGCCTCCCCAGGACAGCTATGGGAAATATAATCTTAAACCACAAATGAAAGTATTTTTTTAAGCTACCAATTGTGCCGAGACAGCCTTTTAACAATTAAGACAATATCATCCAATACCTTAAACGCTGATTTGTCTATTTAGATACTCAGAGATGCGTCAGTCCAAATACTCCCTTTCTGAGTAGGAAACTGGCTCCTTGGAAACGTCAAGAAATCAACATGTCAGTGATTTCTTCTGCATCAGGGTGTTTTTTTGAGCTACTCACACAGAAACATCAGGACACCATAAGTGCCTGTTTCTCCGGGGTGAGACTGCAGCTTGCAGGCCTGTCTTGTGTCCCAACTAAGTGGGCTCGTTCTGGAACCAAGCCCATGCAGGCACTGGCCTCCATGAGGGTTTCTAAACAGTGCAGTGTGGTCTCTGAATCTTTGAAAGTTAGCAAAGTTTTGAATTCCATTGGCAAATAAAAGAAACATTTTTCCATTCAAGAAAGAACTCTAAGTGGGGCTCTGCTAGGGCCTGTTTATCAAATTGGAGATAATGAAATCAATTTAGGCTCATTTTTCCAATTTAAAGTAGAGCTTTGGGATGAAAACGTTTTTTTTTTCCCCGTGTTGGTCATTTCTTAAGATTGCCGGTGAAGAAGAAAAGGCTCACAAAGTCACCACCCAGATCATCTTGACAGCTTCAGAAAACTGCTTCAGTCCAGAAGTCAAAAAAGGGAGAGAGAGAGGGAGACAGAGAGAGAGAGAGAGAGAGAGAGAGAGAGAGAGAGAGAGAGAGAGAGAGAAAACATGGTAAAGGAAGGACTTGAAACCCTTTTTTATCCAGATTGTAAATGTATCTCAAATAAGTCAGACAGATGAGGGGCAGTAAACTGTACCAAATACTGTCCAAATTGCATGCCTGTATTTGGGGACTGAGCCTTTGACATATCCATGTGGTTCAAAGGAAGATTTTAATAAAGAAGGGAAATGTCAAAAGGAGTGTTGTGGACTAACTGACTTATGCCTATGGAATTTGATGGTAAAACTCATGAACTTATTGTTATTATTGTTTGTTTTTATTTGAAAACCTGGAAGGGAGTGAAAAAATTCCAGGTATGGAATCTGGAGATTATCTGCACATCTTGGGAGCAAAGAAAAGAGAAGAAAAAAGAAATGGTGGCTAAAACTGTAGAAGAATCTCAAAAGAGATCCAGCCTCCAGCTCATAGACTAGAGAAGAATTTGTGTTTTAAGTTTAGATTTCACTTTGTGATGTATATGAAATACCTTTGAGGCATTATGACATTATATACCATGTATCTGTATTAACTTTGGAATGTACTTTGTTCAATGTTTAATGCTGTAGTTGACGTGTTTTCAAAGCTGCTTTTTTTTTTTTTTTGGTATGTGCATCTCAGCATTTAAAAATTTTTTTATTTAGTTATGGTCTCTACACTATTTGTTAGAAAAGATGAGGATTTTCCATTTGAAGTTTTGTATTTTGACTCTCCAGACACTCTTAACAACACCTCTTGTAGCCTTTGGACCTTGGACAGCTAAAGGAGAGGGAAATGTAGCTTTTGAGGGCGTTCATCTCAACGTGATTATATACCTTTGCTTTGAAACAGAAATGTTGAAACAAAGCAAAATGACATTTGCTGTGGTCCCCCTGACCTTATTCCTTGCAGGTTTACTTGACCTGGGCAGTTCTGAGTTTAATAACTCGAGTTATTTGAGACAATGTGCACATTTAGCTATAACCATGGAGTCTATTTGGATGAAAATCATTTTCCAGGGCCTTATAGCAATTAAGAATCTGGCCCTGTTTGACTTTTACAGTTGCATCAAAATGGCCCGTTTAAATAGAGGTACCAAGTAAAGCCATAGGAGCTGATTTAAATGGTCCATTTTTCATGAGAGTTAGTAGCACTTATGGGTTCACACAGAACAGAATAGACTTGTAGAGTGGAAAATGGTATGAATTATAAGTCACTACTCAGAACCAAATCAGTGAAGCAGATTAAATGATTTTTTTGGTTTGAATTTTGAAATGTTTTATTATTTTATGAAAGGTTTACATTATCAAAAGTGGCAGATATTGAACCAAAAGCCCCGTGCTGCTACGCGACAAGATCACCTGCATGGAGTTGGTCTTATAGTTCACTCCAAGTGTCAAGATTCTCCACGCTGCTTTAAAAGTAATATGAAGTACCTTATGGACATTTAGAAGATACAGTCTGATTGGTGTTTGGTTGTCTTTGTGGTTGTTGGTGTTATAGTCCTTAAAAAAAGAAACAACCTGGGATTCCCAGTATATTAGTAAAGTGTATATATATTAAAAAAAAAAAGTCATGGTGGTTGAAGTTTTTTGGTTTTCTCTTGCTGTTGGGGATCTCGTTTTCTGATCATCCCCATGAAAAACTTTTGCCACCTGACTCTAGAATTGTACAGTATTTCCATGCCTGCACTTGCTCAGAGACTAGTTGATGATTAATGCATTTCTTATTGTTAAACGTACTAGAAATGATGAATGTATATAAAAGTCTGAACTAATCAAATCTTTTTCTCCCTCTTCTTGCCCGATGTATTGTTCTCTATCTCTATTATTTTGGGCATACCCTCACTGAATCTTTTACACCTGATTTTTATGTCATACACATACACACACACACACACACACATACACACACACACACACACCTCACAGTGAGTGTTGGCTAATAGCCATTTCTCCATCCTTGACTTAAAGTGATTCATATATTGGCTAGGGCACACATATAAAAGACACACATTTTCAACTGGGGCCATTGGCATTAAGAAAAAGCTATGAGGTGAAGAGCACTTCATTGTCGTCATGAATAAATAAACCCTTACTTCCTAAAGGCTTTGAAAACCTTTCATATAAAAAAGGATCACTTCTACACTAAAGAATCTTTAGTGTAGAGGAAGAAAAATGCTATGTTGGGTAGTCAATCAAGTTCTACCAGCCAAAATATTCATAAAGAGCAGAAATTATTTTTAGACTCTCTTTGTGGAAAGTAAAGTTCAGAAATGTATCAAGTACCCAGATAATTCTGGTCAAAACAAAACAAACCAACCAAACAATAAGAGTATACGCTCAAGTCTCCATTTCACCTTGTAAGTTTCAGACATGCCTGCTCATTTAGAAATGGCTTTTAATCACGCAGTCATCAAGCGTTAATATTGAGTGTTTTCTCCGTTCATTGCACTAGATACGATGATTATAAAATCAAAAAGGACTAAGAATCATGTTTAAAAGTGAAGAATCAGGGCCTTCCCAACAACATGACATCAAGGATTGACTAAATTTTGAAGAGGCCAGGAATGCTTTATTTGCATTGAAACAAATAATTAAGAACCTCCACCTTAAACTCCAATTATAACCTACTGAGTCCTTTAAAGGTTGTGGCTATGGTTACCATTTCTTATCACTAACATTGAATGATTTACATGGGCTGTGTGAAAGACAGAGGAAGGCCCTTGGAAAACAAATGGTTATAAGGACATCAGGGAACATAGTTGAAACTTTGATTCCAGTTCTATCCTTTAGTGTCTTAGGCAACAGGAGATGAATGTGGTTACTGACATGAAAAACAACAACAACAACAACAAAAATATGGACACCGGTCTCAAGTTCAAGTCCATGTAGAGTCTAATCAGATTCTTCTTGTTACTTTAAATTGTATGTGTTTTTAGGAGTTCTTATTGTAATAATGTGTCTGGGGAAATTAATAATAATATACCAGAACATTTCCTAAAATCAAATCAATCTTTTCTTTGTTGAAGCAGTTGGGGTTAAGTGACTTGCCCAAGGTCACACAGCTAGTAAATGTCAAGTGTCTGAGGCCAGATTTGAACTCAGGTCCTCCTGACTCCAAGGTTGGAGCTCTATCCACTGCGCCACCTAGCTGCCCCCAAATCAAATCAATCTTAACAGATGACTTACAGGATGAATGGACCTGACTAATGCACGGTAAAGTAAATGTGGAAAAATTGAAATAGAGCCTTTATTAGTGCTAAACATAATATCATGTGATAATGACCCAGTGTAATAAGTGAATGTATAGCATCTAAGAACATTTTATCACCCTCATGCATATACAGCTCTACTGGTACCAGTGGACCTTGAAGTCCATTTCAGTATGATAGTTTGATGATCAAAACAACTCCCTTGAAAGTTGCCATTCTGGATACAAATTGGCATTCCAGATATGTGTGATAGGTATTTAAACAGTCACGTGTTTGAACTAGTGGCATAGTCATTGACACAATCTACATTACAGCAGAGATATTTCTTTTTTCCTCATTTGCCATCATGATGCTTTCATAGAGCATGATGATAATGATGACAATGTAATTAATGATTCTTTCTAATTAAACTGAGTAAATAATGATACCAGTCAGGTATGCAAGAAAAAAGCATTCTCTTATGTCATCTAGTCCCCTCTTCCATGGTCACTGAATGTATGGGCCCTTACAATTAAGTAACCTATCAAAATAGGAATTGGACATTGTAGATGGTTCAGTAGAAACTCATTATTGCTCTCAGAAAAACAACACAAAAGTGTCTGTTCTGCTGCTGGAAGGTCAATAATGCCATCTCTATATACAACAGAAAGGACATTAATGACTTCTAAGGCTGAAACAGCAACTTGGTATCCTAGTTACTTGTGTAAAGGTACGGGGATTGCGACCTTGCAGATATATGGCAGAGAGGCTTTATTATAGCAGTGATTCTTAAGGCTGTGTAACTACAAATTGACTCTTATGCAAGTGGACATTAACTCCGTGTATTTCCATTCTTTCCGTGGGAAAAAGTTTATAGCTAGTTTGCTTGATGGAATGTAATATGATCTTCATTTATATTGGCCAAGGTAGCATTATGAAATGGTTGTAGCTGGTCTGATTTCCTTTGGAGAACTTAAACAGCTATATTCATTACAATTTTTTGAAGCCTTCAAAACATCCGGATACTATCTGCTTGGATCCTTTCTCCCCCCTTAAGTTAAACTTTAAACAGAATTCAACTTTATGAAGAATATTTTGACTTTTATCTTCCAGGAACTACTCTAAGTTTTCTGTTTTTAACTTTGGAGCTGAGTTTTCATTATCACCAGCATAATTGTACATAAAGGAAATTTTGTTTATGCAGTACCTTGGATATATATATATATATGGGAAGGTAAAGTAGTTTTCCAGTTTGCTACCATGAAATACAACGGCATTGTTTTTGTTAGTTGGGGGGAGGGGAATCACATTGCCATTAAATTTGTTGTGTCTGTCTGGTTATTATTGTGAAATAAGAAAAATAAAGTGCACTGTGAGCTATTGGTTATATACCTGAATTGTTTATAATTTGTTGCCAACAGCTTTATTAGAACCCTGATAAATCAAATTACTACACACTGGTGCTATAATGATATCCTTGGAGACTAGGCTGTGGGATTCCCTTATAGGTGAAACCACCTTATATTGAGATTCTTTGGGTACCCTGAAACTGATAGGATAAGTCTAAGGAGGACCTATTCTTGGATAGGTCCAAGATGTGACGTATACAGAATCCCACTCTCCAAAGGAATGCATTTGCCAGTTAGATAGCCCTCTGCCACATGCAGTGGGTCACTTGTGGGTTTGAAAATTCTATCATCCATTTCATATGACTGGGCTGGGGAGGGAGAACATGGAAAATGAAGAAAGGACACATTGAATAATTACATCAGAAAGATTAACAAACTTAAAAGTCATATTCTGAAGCCAGCCTTCACCAATTTGGCCCTCACTAGGCCTTTTCTTTAGGACCGCTTTAAAGCTAATTAGCAATACCCCTAAAAGGTGAGAACCAATGCTTCTGAAGTACTTCAAGGATTACAAAGTTGTCTCTCAACGACTTCAGACAATCTTGTCTGTATATCTTTCCTTCCAAACTTTTCCCTCTATTAACTTCCCTATTACTGTTGAGATTGTCACCACACTCCCAATTTCTCTGGTTCACAAACTTCCTCAGGTCCTCATTCTCTCTCATGACTTGCATTCAATCAGTTGCCAAATCTTGTCATTTTTACCTTTAAAACATATCTCCAATTGGTTCCCTTCCCTCCAGTCACACAGCTCTGACCTTAATTCAGACCCTAATCAACTCTTACAAAGACAATTACAATAGCCTCCTATTTGGTCTCTATCTGACTCCACTGTCTCCCTTCTCCAATCCATCCTCCACTCAGCTGATAAAGTGATTTCCCTAAAGCATAGCTCTGTCCTCCATTCCCTTAGCTTAGCAAACTCTAGCTCCAGGGTCAATTATAAAGTCCTTGGTTTGGCATTTAAGGCTTTCCACCAGTTGTTCCCTTTCTATTTTTCCAGTTCTCTAACACTTTTCTCCTCTCTCCATGCCCTCTGTAGTCCAGCAATACTGGCCTAGACACCTCTATCTCCTAGACCAGGGCTGTTTAAATTTTTTCCACTTGCAAACTCTTTTACCATTTAGGCAGCTGTTAGTTGGTATTGCATGAGCTGAGGGCATGCGCAGTGCAAAGCGCACATGCTTTGTGTTCAGAACCAAGGCTGCCGCAATGTTGCCTGATGCAACACAGGCAAGCACTGCCAGAAACACCTTGGATTCATTGTGCGTTTGATTTTGAATTAATTTTTGGTCATTCTGTGTTCAGAAACCTTTTACTGTTGCCAAATTTTTCACAACCCCAAATGGGGTCATGACCCACAGTTTAAGAAGCGCTATAAAAGACCCGTGACCCTCCGTCTCCCATCTTTGAGCCTTTGCATTAATTCTCTCCCATGCTTGGAATGCTCTCTCCCTTTACCTTTCCTCATCCCTGGCTTCATTTGAGATCTCAGCTCAAGTCCTGTCTTCTTCAGGAGATCTTCCTAGACCTTCCCCAACCCAGCCACTTGAGTTTTCTCTTAAGTTATCTTCCCTCTACTCTGTATGTATCCCATAGGTATCTATTTTTCTTTTACATATTGTCTACCCTATTGTATTGTATACAAGTTCCTTAGGGCAGAGATTATTTTTATGTTTTTCTTTTCTTTGTGTTTCTAGATCAGTGCTTGGTAGGAGCTTAACAAATGCTTTTTGACTGATCCCTATTTCACAGGTGAGAAAACTTACTTGCCCAAGATCACACAGAGAATGTAAGGGCCATGATTTGAACCCAGATCTTCTGACTAGTGCTTTTTGCACTACCCCATTCCAGTTCCTTTTCTGAGGAAAACATTCTGTCTTATCTTGGACCACACTAGATTCTCCTAGACTTGGTCATACTGCATTAGACATGTTCATACTGATTGATTCAACCTACTCCATTAACTTTTATGTAATTTGTTAAGAGTGGAGGTCCTTATCTTAATTAAATGTCATATTCAACAGCTTGGCAATGGAAATTATAGGAAGAAGTCATTTGAAAGCTGTACCTTTAATCCTTCTCTTGGGAATCATAGGATCATAGACTTAGAATTAAGAGATTCATTTTTAATGGTTCTCTCTCCCAAAATCCACATGGTGGATAAGTAATACCCCATTTTAGAGATGAAATAAAATGGAATGGTATTTGAATGATTGTTCAAGGATGAGTTGAAGCCAGCTCTTATAAACTCTCAAGGGTCAATTGTTCAATTTGCAACATGAGCATTTATACCTCAGAAATTGTTGTTCAGTTGTGTCCAACTCTTCGTGACCCTATTTAGGGTTTTCTTGGCAAAGATACTGGAGTGGTTTCCCATTTCCTTCTCCAGCTAACTTTTACAGAAGAGGAACTGAGGCAAAGGGTCACACAGCTAGTAAGTGTCTAAAGCCAGATTTGAACTCATGAAAATGAGTTTCCAGGCCCAGCCCTCTACTGTGCTACCTAGCTGTCCCTTAAAAACTGGCCAATGCTATAAATCAGGATGTGATTTATAGTAGACTCAGATTAAAATGTAATTGGGAAATGTTTAATAAAATAAAAATATAGTATAAAATATAAAGATAATGTTAGTTTGTGGTTTTCTAAGTTGACATTCAGCCCACAGGGATCATGTGGATTTGACACTAGCAGTCTAAAATTGGAGAAGGAAATGGAAAACCACTCTAGTATCTTTGCCAAGAAAACCCCGTGGACAGCATTGCTGTGCTATGGTCCATGGGGTCATGAAGAGTTAGACACAACTGAACAACTGAACAACCCCAATAGTCTAGACTAAAGAAAGTGATGAAGAAAATGTTAATGCAGATTAAACTTAAAATGCTTTGTGTGCACATTTTCCCCCAGAAAATTGGTTGTTAACATTTTTCAGCACACTTCTGATTATACCGTTCAGGGTCACCTGATAACACCGATGCTAGATCAAGGTTGGGTTTCATGGCTGTAACTTTCACATATATAAATTCCTCTAAGATCCAGGTTCCACCCTCCCAACACCTTAGAATAGCTATCAGCAAATACCATTGAATAAGAGCTTAAATATTTTGCACATTTATAGTTATTTTTCTCCTCTTGACTCACCTTAGAGGTGAGGGAAAGAGCATTCATATAGCACCTAGTATATGCCAGGCACCAGGCTAGGCACTTTATAAACATTATCTCATTTATTCCTTACAATAACCCTAGGAAGGCAGAAAGAAGTTAAGTGACTTGTCCATAGTTAGTCGGTATTTGAGGCCATATTTTAACTCAGATTTTCCTGACTCCAGGCCCAGTACTCCATCCATTATACCACCTACCTATTGTTGTTAGTGACTCTATAAACTCACCATATGAACATATCTGACCAATATCTACCAATGCATGATGGTCTGATAACTAGGTTGGTGGTGGAGTAGATATTGAGGGCATATTAAGGCTTTCACTATTGCCTCACATGGTTTTCATGAGGACCAAATGAGAAAATGTCCACGAAATATAATGAAACATAATGAAAACTACCATACATAGCACTGTGTGACATCATCATGACCCAGTAGATCTTGGTTTGATCACTGAAGCTCCTAGTTCCCTTTTGAACATTCCCTTAACCTTTGTCCCTCATCTATATGACATTCTCACACGAGCCATTAATTAACTGCTCCCTCTTCACCTCTACATCATATTTAAACCTCTTCCACAAATTCTGGATCAGCCTTCCTGATGATCAGAAAATGATAATATTCCTGTTTTTATTTACTAGGCACATATAAACTTAGTAGGGAGTACTGAAGTGATACCTTGATTAATGAATCCTGTGGAATAACAGTGAAGAAGTGTTAACAACAACAAAAAAGATTCAACTTCACAAATCACACAGAACAGAGCCACAGGTCTCAAAGCCACACAGGACAAAAACACTTCCTTTGTGCTGTCCTGTTGAAGGTATAGAGGGACATTCTCGGGCAAAATTGAGGCCAGGAAAGCTTGTTTCTGTCTTCCCTGGCTGCCCAACTGGCTTTCCACCTCCTTCGTCCTCCTGTTCTCTTCCTCCTCTTCCTCTGACCCATCCTATATCAGTTGTTTATAGTCATTGATTAATTAAAGATTGTTGTTCGTGTTTGTCCTTCATTCTCCAATAGGACCATGACATCAGGAAGGTGATACTGTGACTTTCAAATTAACTGGATTTAAATGAGGGAGGGCTGTGCAAAGTCACCAGCCTCATTTTCTTCTCTGGAGCCATCTGGGTCCAGTGGCAAGATATAGATCAGCATAACTGGAGGTGGGCCCAGATGCAGTGGGAGACCTTTACCTTTTTAAGCTAAGGTCTTTCCCAGATTTCAGTTTGACCAAGGCAACATCCATTCAGAGGTTAAGGATAGGTGAGAAATTAGGCAAAGAATGGCCCCTACTACTGGTCAGAAAAAAATCAATCTGGGAGGGCAGGCCTTCAGGGTTTCTGACTAAAACAGTAACAATTGCTATTAAAGATTACATCATAGCTCTTCATACTCAAGAGTGACTTTGACCAGGCAGAAGTAGCGTGTACCTTTTATCTTTAGTTATGAAATGACTTTGTAATAATAATAATAACAATAATAATAAAAATAATAATAAATAATGATAATGATGATAGCTAGAATTTATATGGCACCAACTATATGCCGGGCACTGTGCTAAGTGCTTTACAAATGTTATTTCATTTGATCCTCACAATAACCCTAGAAGGTAGGTACTATTATTATCCTCTTCTTACAGTTGAGGAAACTAAAGAAAACAGAGGTTAAGTGACTTGCCTAGGATCACACAGCCAACAAGTGTTTGAGACCAGACTTGAGCTCAAGTCTTCATGACTCCAGGCTCAGCCCTCTATCCATTATACCTCCAAGGCTTCAGTGAAGTCTCACTTGAGGTAAGCCTTGGAGGAATCCAGGGATT